TGCAAAGTTGTATTGAGGAAGAATAAACTAGTTTTATTTAAGAAAGGACTTGTGTCGCTGAAATTTCATCGGAAATAAATTATACGAAAAATTAACAAACGAACAGAGACGTAACAGTTTGCACAATAGCTAACAGCGATCCAAATGCTTCATTAAAAACACATTGACTTATTCACTCTATCGTCTAGAAACAACTCTGTATATTTTTAACTATCTTCGTAGAGTCTCGTATTTATAATCCATTGTGAACTTATAAGAAATCTGGACGTTAGCTACTATAATTTTATAAATTATACCTTTAGATCTTAACGTCATTATTACGAGTCGCAGCTAATAAGCGAAGAAACAAATTACAACATTAGAAATCTAGCTGACAACAATAATATTAATATTTAGATCTTTACATATTAAGATATTTTTACGAATAAAGCACTGTAATATCTGTTTTCGTAATTTGGTAAAAACAAATGTGTTTATATAAGTATAAATATACTTCACGTACAGAGTGTGTAATAAAAAAGAAGAGATCGAAGAAGAAATGTCCCATAACCCTATATTATCGTCGCCACAAGACAACCAGGTGACTCGATTAGCCTGACGTTTGAGTGAATGTAACTAATTGTGATTTTTAATGGTGATGCTTTATTTGAATTTTCCTGATGAAAAATAACATTTGAAAGGTTAATTGTCGTGTATCGAAAAACGAAACATATCGCAAAGAAGACTGGTTTCGATTTCAAAATTCTGACGGTGGATTATCAACCATAACTTGGGAAAATCGCTGCTTTTCAATTTCTGCAACTAACAATAACATGCAAGCTACTAGTAGCTCTTCGTGGCACAATGGGAATTCTTCGTTAAATGGTGTCAGTGATGATCTGCATAATGCTGCTTGTTTGTCCATTTCAAATTCTAATGGACAGATTAATGGAGGAACATCTGAAATATCCTCAAATATACGAACACAAACTGATAAGGATGTCATTCGATTGATTGGCCAGTACCTTCGAAGCCTCGGACTTAAGTAGGCATATATCATTATATGTCATACCTTTACCTCTATTTTAAATATATATATATATATGTGTGTGTACCCAGAGTTCAAGTTAATTTTAGCATGATTATTGTTAATAATTGAAGAAAGTGTAGTATGTTTTACATAGTTAAAAAAATAAAAATAATACATTTTGTTATTTCTCAACAGTTTACCCTTTGTAGTGTCACACTTCTCAAGAAAAGTCTGAAGTGTAGTTAAGTAAACGTAACTTCTTTTCATTGTTAACCTATGTTTCTACTAGTACTACTGCATGTTAGCATAGCTTGTAGAATAAATATTAGATAACATATGAACAACAGTTTGTGATTTATTCCACAGTAATACTAATAATGTTTCCCATGCTATATACAATTACAACTGAGAAATGTTTTTCAAGCAAATATAGTGTTGTGTATAATATTTCCTTAATACACTAAATATGACATTATGGAAAGTATTGGGATTGACAATAAAATCACATAGCTATTAATTGATAAAAAGAAAGATTAATAACAGATAAAGCACCAAGACCAGACAATGTTTTTCCAAAGGATTTAAAAGAAGTCAAAGATCAGATTTATGAGGCTTTCTGTTGTATTTTTGGTGGGTAAATAGACAGTTGGCAGGTGCCTGAGGATTGGAGAATTGCTAATGTTACTCTTCTTTCTAAGGGAAGTAATATAATTGTTCTGGAAATTATAGACCAATTAGTCTTTCTTCCCAGTTTGTCCCTGATGAAGAAAGGTCCACTATTCGGTGTTCAGATTATAAGGATTTTTATTTTTGTCTTTAATTGATTTTTTTAACCTACAGGTTTTCTTAACATGGGAAAAATTCTAGAGAGTCTGATAAAAGAAGCTATTAAAAATCATCTAGTAAAATATAAAAGAAAACCAACATGGATTCGTCCAAGTGAAATCCTCCATTACTAATCTGTTAACTTTTATCTAAGATTTTGTGTATTATTTGGATAATGATTAGGGTGTGAATTTAATGTACTTAGATTTTCAAAAGCTTTTGATAAGGTGTCACACAAAAGTTTATTTAAGAAAATTACAATGGTGATGATTAGAAAATATTAGTAAATTGCAGTGTAAAATGATTGGATTGTAGAAATCAAAATGGTGTCATTAAATAGTAACAAAAGTCTAGTCAAGCTGGATGCTAGTTAATAGTGAAGAATATGTCACTGGTTATGCCACATTTGGAGTATTGCATTCAGTCTTAGACTCTTTATTTTAGGAAGGACATGCAATGTTTGGAAGGGGTGCAGAGGAGGGTATCTGAGATGATATCTGGGATGGAAAAGTTTTCATTCAAGGAAAGGTTAATATCCCTGAATTGTTTGCTTTTGAAAAAAAGAAGAGTTAGAGGGTATTTGATTGAGGTGTTTCAGATTGTTAAGGGAATTGATAGTGTTGATGCATCGCCTTTTAACCTTATTTAATGGTGAGAATAGTAGGACTAGGGACACACATAAATTTTGGAGAGGTAGGAGTCATCTTCAGCTTAGACAGTTTTATTTTTCTAACAGGGTGGTTGGACTTTGGAATGGGTTGCCTTCAGATGTGGTGGAGGCAGCAAATTTAAGTGACTTTAACTTTAAAGCAAGGCTGGATAAATATATGAATGATAAGGGCTGGCTATGAGTTTTTTTTATAGTTTTAGTTTGATTGAGTGAATTTGACAACCTAGATGAACCAATAGGTTCCTTATTGTCCCTAAATATTATGTTATGTTATAATTAGTAAAGTTTGCTGATGGCATTAACTTCTTTGGTATTTCTAGCTGTATTAAAGATGTTCACCCATTCATTGTGGCTGGGATGTGTATTTCTCAGTGCACTGGGAAATGTACATCCCAGCCACAGTGAGTGGGTTAAGATACTGTAGAATGACTTAGACTAGTAGTCAACATGTCAAATGGGTCTTAAATTTTAATATATCCCTACCTATAGTTTAAAGAAATTATTATTTTATTGTATCCTGATGTCTGCTTATTCAAAAAAAGAAAGAAAAATGATAGTTGATGGTGATGAAATTCTGTTGGTACTCACCGGTACTGAGTACTGGAACTTGTTTTTTAAGGTAGTACTAGTAGTGGGCTTTATATGAGCTGCTGTTTTGGATGCGCTTGCATTCCATTGTTCTGTCAGAAAGTATTTATTCATTGACACTAAAATTGTTGCTTTTATGTTTACACATAGAAAAAAAAACAGGTCCACTTCTCCCAGCTGAGTACCTCGACTTTTTTTATGAGAATTTTACCCCTGTTTGAACTTGATATTGGAATATCATTAATACATTTCCAAATGTATTACAGGACTGGGATCCATATTTGTTTTATATTGCTTAGAAATGAAACCCCTCCTCCATAATATATGTAGTGTTCAAATATTATCAATTGAGATAATCAAATATTGTTATTATTGAGATTCTAGGTCTGTTATTTCAATTGAAATACTGTGCAGAAATGTTAATGTTTTATTTTGAAACTCACTCATGATTTTGGCTTCGTTACAGGTATATATTTCTCTTGACAAAACGAATGTTGTATATCTATCTCAATAAGACTTTTATAAACCAAATTAGGACCACTGTGTGGGCAGATGTTATCTTTGAATTCATTTTAAATAAACAACATCTTAACAAACTGTCATTAACCACGGATTAGAGTCGACAAAATTTCTTGTTCTTTAAAGGTGTGATTGGTATCAGAACATGTTACCTGTAAGAACAATTATTTACAAATTCGATGACGAGGAACCCACTTTGAGACTAATAATGGCTGGAGACGGCTTGAATGGGTAATGATGACAAAACTTTGTCGAACCGTTCTACATTTGCTGTTATGTTAAACTTATATTAAAGTTTTTTTCATTACCCATACAAGCCGTCTCCAGCCATTATTAATTATTTACAAACATGGCCATGATGTTACTCAATAAAAGTTTGACTAGTATCATCACATGTTGATGCTAAACAAAAATATGAGTAGCACGTCAATCGGCACAAACTGTGGTTAAACCATCTTGACCTATAACTACTACTAATCACCAAAGAAATATAGTACTGATGCTGTTCAAACATTTATTTGAACTGTGATAAGGCTATCAGACTAAATAGTGCTAAAAGTTGCACGTAGAGCTGGTTGATTAGTGGAATTGATAATTGTTTCATCATTGCACTCATTAGTTAATTACATTGAATTAAACAATTATTCTCACATAAAACCTGAATATTTGGAATAATGAAAAAATAATTTCGGAACCAATAATTTTGATTAGTCATGATACTAATTGATTAAGCAGCACAAACTTGAATTAAAGTGATTATGAGAAATCATAAGAGCAATATTTTAATTAGTTGGATAGTTAGAATAATCAAAAACAGTAACAATTAGAAACACTAATTTAGATTACTTGATTATTTTTTGACATTAATAGATTTTATCATGACTTTAATTGATTATTTTTACATAACATGACGTTTTGGGACAACATGGGACATATTCGTCCATCTCGGCTGTTTCATCATCTAAACTAAATTAAAATAATCAAAAAATAAATCTTAAAGCGAGCCATTATCATTCATATACTTATCAAGCTTTTTTTTAAACTCACTTAAATTTACTGCCTCTACAATGTCCAAAGGCCAACCACCCTGTTAGAAAAATGGAACTGTCTTAGCTGAAGATGACTCCTACCTTGCCAAAATTTATATTTATGTTCCCTAGTCCTACTATTCTTACCATTAAATATGAAAAAAGATGATGCATCAACACTATCAATTCCCTTTACAATCTTAAACACCTCAATTAAATCCCTCTTCTAACTCTTCTTTTTTCAATAGAAAACAATTTGAGAGATTTCAGCCTCTCCTTGTATGACAACTCCTCTATCCAAGGCACCATTCTAGTAACCCTTCTCTGAACCCTTTCCAACAATTCAGTGTCTTTCTTAAGGTAAGGAGCCCAAGACTGAACACAATATTCCAAATGTGGTCTAACCAGTGACCCGAACAATGAAATTGTAACCTCTTTGGACTTGTACTCAATATTTCTGTACGTATAACCTAAAATCCTATTTGCCCTACCACTAGCAACAGCACACTGCTTGGATGGCTTTAAAGACTGATCAACTATTACACCAAGATCCCTTTCCTTCATAACACGATTAAGGTTGTACCCATCCAAATTATTCTTATAATTGAAATTATGATAACCCACATGCATTATTTTT